CGAAGAAAAATGGTGGAGATTAAACACTCAGTTGTCAGTTTAAGTACACCAAGCTAAAACTAATGTGGTCGGATAAAACAGTCCTGCAACAAATCCTCCTGCCCGTGGTATAGATGATGGATGGGTAGGCTAAATCAACACGTCTCTGAACATTATCACTGTCATCAAGGGAGGATTTACTATAGGACTGTTTTAGCTTGGTGTACCTAATAACCTGATAGTACATGCAGCTCTAAGGAGGTAACATCTAAACTTAAATCCTTGTATCTGGTTAAAACTAATTTATACTGCATTGTAAACAAATGATTAAATCTTTGTATGGAGTTACTTCAAGGTTCAAAAACTCTCGAGCGCCACAAGTTGAAAAAGTCGTATGCCTTCACCTTTCTGGATTCTCCACAAAACACAAGACAAAGGTGAGAAACGCTTGATACATCATATCAAAGCAGCACCATTGATGCCAAATCTATGTCAGTGACTGTCACTTCGAGCTGGGAGATGGATTTTATGACCGTTTTCCCAGTTTATAAATGCAGACATCTGCATAACTCCACATTAATTGACTAGAGCGATGCTGAATATTTCCTAGCCTGCGTGTTGCTACATTTTTCTTATCAGTTTTTTAGTCTGTACAAGTGTATCCTCTCACCAAAGCAGGATTACTAATTTAGCTGAGTAAGTAGTCACCAGGAAATGGCCACCAACAGCTGTAGACTTCACTCTACTCCAGTTTCAACCATGAACGTCATAAACCTTGTTTGTCACTCCCTTCACACAACATCAGTGAAGGTGTTGGATGTGCTACAGAAACATGACACCTGAAGGCATTTAATGGCAGTGACCTCCATTTAACTCAAATCTTCCTACATCATGTAGAGCAGCCAAGGCAACAAAAGCTTTTCTCTCGGCCTGCTGGCAAATCTTGTTTCCAACTCTGCATCTCGTCTCTGTAAAGCAAGACCCACCTTGCCCTGTGACGTACAGTATGTACGTCCATTTACATGTTGGCTGTAAGATAACTATTTCAGGTGAATATACTGCTAGTTTTCACCAGAGGTGTGCAGATCTCGGAGTGGTGGAACAAACCTGTCCTCAGCTGTCATCACAGGAGATGCTAGATCTGCATTTTGAGAAAACAATGTTCAGTGTGAGGAGGTAACAAAAATGTTCTTTGCTGCAATGTAAATACTTAATGTTGACCTGGCGCAGTTGATTTTGTATGATGCAGAACTGTTGGGAAATGTATTTTTAAGATGGTTATTGATAATGCAGTAGTTTTGTGCACAGCAAAATTCAGTAGACAAACTGCTGCATACACAACTATTATAGAGCAACTACTGAAAACGTTACAGGATAAAGGTTTTTTTTTTATAGATGGTAGATTTTGATGGATTGAAAGAAACTGTCAAATACAGTTTTAAGAGATTTAGCTGGATGCTCAGGGGAGCTGGGGACACACAGGGGGGAGGGAGATCCACAGGAAGCACTCTGGTGTAAAAACCAGAATTAAGGTGTAAAACCAAATGTTGCTCAGTCAACCTCCACTGCGTGACAAGGGTATGTCTGACAGAATTTCTGAATTGTGACTGATTCTCTGCTTTACCTTTAAACTTAGGAGATGAATCTCACCCAACTGGATGTTTAAAAACAAGTCAGGTGACATTCTAGATTCTTTTTATTTTCAACAAACCAAAACTAACAACGAAATAATCCTACTAACAGTTACTATTAGGCTTATTCATCTGTGCTGAGTTGACCAACAACTATTAGCAACACATCAGTGAGTCACACTGTTGCAATTCAATATGATGAGCCCTGTAGTTTTACTTTGGATCAACCCCACATACACCATCTTGCTGCTTCAAATACCAAATCTGTGACTGAAAATAGCCCCGACAAATACGCTGCTTACTCTACTCATACTACAGGAATGTACTGGCTCCAGGCCGGCGCCACATACAGGATACTGACTAATTCTTAAAATCTCATTTTCAAGAGAGAGTTGGCCAAAAGGGCTTCATCAAAACTTTGTTACAAATAAAACAAAAGCAAGATCACACACTCTACAAGAGAAGCTGTGCTCCTGTCAGGCAGTCACCAAACTGAAAAGAAAATGTAGCTGATACTTAGCATCTGGGGTGTTTAGGCCTTTGTTGCACAGAGGTGAAATATTACCTCTCTGATTGTTTTTAAAACACTGACATGGTCTTGATGATCATACTGTATGTCCTGAGTTACTCCACTAACTTTGGCCACACAGCTACACCCACTACAGTTGTATAAGAATAATTAATACACGTTGTTTTTAAGATTTTTTTGTTCTCCATTTGTTCTAATAATCTTCCTAAGAAATGGCTTTTTCTGAGACGTAGTGACTTATTTTTGGAAAGCAAAGTAGCCAAAGTTAACAGTTAAATTACAGCTGGTTTTATGTTAATAACAAATCCCAAACTTGATTAAGATAAACTACTCTGTTCACCAAGTGTAAATATTGATCACTGACATTTGCATGAGTCATTCACAATTTAGGTACAGGGTGTAGTTTGGGTTGTGAGATCTAAATATGATTTACAATACTGAAGCATAAAAACGCCACTTTATTACAAGTAACTGAAATGAATGACAGCAAATCTCAGGGCACAGTAGTCTGACAACTGTATCAGCTGCCAGTTAGAAGACAACCTGCGTCAAGTGAATCTGGTTTTGAAAGGCTTCTGATGGAGCACACTGTGCTTTCCTGAGTGATCCAGTTTGGTAACTGGTGCGACAGGGAAATCTTTGATAAAAGAAAATAAAATTAGACATCTAGACTATATGTAAGTGATGTTTCAGTGACTATAATTAAAATCACAGTGAAATAATCCAGTGTTAATTGTCTCCTGGTTTATGTCAAATATATGTTACTCTGATCAAAATCCCTCCCTCTTCTCTTCTTATAAAAATTCAAATATTTCAAGTAAACCATTCCTGCATCCTAGGTATAATTATTTTTATTTTAGTAACATCCTGATACAGGGGCAGGGGAGTGAGGCATTCTCTTTTTGGTGGCTGGCACAATAAATTGGCACTCGCCTTTGTGCTTTTAAATCCAGGCCTACATACTGTGTGCCTACAGCTTTACACAAATACACATTTAATGAAAAGAAAATGTAAGGCATTGCTGAGCAGCATTTCCAACTGTTTGGGCTACCTTGTGCTAACACCTTTTTCCTGAATGATTGTGAGATTATGAACAGTCATTGGCGGTACTTCATGTATTTAATAGGCCTTCATGATGTGCATCTTCTCTAGTAGAGTGGGAAGTGACACTTTCCATTGAATGACACCTCCTGGGTAAAGTATTTTTCCACTGATCTCTTAAGTGTCTTAGCAAGTCCTTTCCAAATTGGCAGCAGGTTCAGGTGGGCTTTGACTTTGTGAAGCCGCAGGTTTTCCAGAACAGCAGCAAAAGCTAACATTTTCTGCTCCACCTGCTTCTTCTCTGTGTATTTCTGTCACAAAGGCATTAGGACTCACGGGCTGTGCTGCAAACTCCCGATCTAAATTTGTGGGTTCTGCATTTTTTTTTTTTTTTTTTGCCATTTTCGAATATCCATGATGGCATTTTTTTTTTCCTTATGCTAGTCAGCAGCATCATCGTCCCACCGTGTGCTGCGTTCACATCACATCGGAGTTACCACTTTTCCACTTATGTGGTGTTCAGGTTAACATCAAAGTTGTAGAAATTCTGTTGTTAGAGATAAGGTAAGATAATCCTTTATTATCATTGTAAGACGTAAAACGAAATTTTAGAGTGACCCCCAGTCGGTACAGCAACAGAAAAAAATAACATACGAAATAAGACCATATTAAAAAACCTTAACCGCTAGAAAAACAACAGACCCCACCACCCCCTATCCACACACACAGGCATATTATACTTTAGCAGCATTGAGTGTGGTAACTGCAGTTGGGCAAAAACTATTCCTGAATCTAGTGGTCCTTGATTTGATTACTTTGAACCGTCTGCCTGACGGCAGCAGTTCAAAGAGTGAACGTCCTGGGTGTGAAGTGTCCTTAATGACGTTCTGGGCTTTTTTGAGGCAGCGGGAACTGTGTAGTTCTTCCAGAGTGAGGAGAGGGCAGCCGACGATCTCCTGTTGTTTAAAGGTAATTAAATAGGGGAATTTAAATGGTACCAGTGCTATGATGAAAACGCACGATATCACCCTGAGGTCTTTAACTCTGCAATAACGTAGCTTTCACTCAAAGTTATTATACGATGTATGGTTAAGGATGCAGGAGTTGTGATGCAGTGTGTGTGTGTGTGTGTGTGTGTGTGTGTGTGTGGGTGGTGGTGGTGGGGGGGTCGAATTATAATCGAATAATACCATAAATATTAATATATGTGCCATTCTGCATATTGAGTACTTGTATTTTTGGTAGGCTACTTCAAATGGTTTTAGATGCCAATGGGCTAATTTTGGCTGTGGCTCAGGTCGTTTCCTAACCGGAGGATTAGCGGTTCGATTCCCGGCTTGTCCAGTCAACATGTCGAGGTGTCCTTGAGCAAGACAATGAACCCCCAGTTGCTCCCGGTGATGTCACCGGTGTGTGAATGCGTGAGTGCTTGGGAGTGCGAATGGGTGAATGGCCGAAAGCGCTTTGAGTGTGCTGTAAAAGCATAGAAAGGCGCTATACAAGTATAAGATCATTTTGTAAGTAACATTTTGAATGCAGGACTTTTACTTGTAAAAGTGTTCGTACACTTTATTATGCTACTTTTACTTAAGTAAACAGCCTGAGTACTTGTTCCACCACTTGTTGAATGCCTCGACGGGACGTGTCTGCACTGCTGACTGTATATAGGTCAGCACGCAGTACATACCGCACTGCTGGGGTTTCTCCCTTCACGTTGTGTTCTGCAACGTGACCGCTGTGCTACTGCTCCTCTGTTACGTCGCCGGGACTCGTGGCTCCTCCTACCCGGTGTCCTGAAAGTGTGTCACTGGGTTAAAGTGGCTCCAGCGGGCGGAGGGGCGTGGCCGACAAATGGGTCACATGGGCGAGCCCACTATTGAGAACATTTAGTTCTTTTGACTAACTCACAGTCGCATAGGAGGGGCGAGATCCTACAGTTCGTTTGTTTCGTTGTTCGCTTTCAGAAGTCAAAAGCTGGATGATTCGCACTCTAATGAAATTTAGACCTGCAGATTTCCCCCCCCAGATAGATTACATATGAGCGTTATCTTTTGGCTTGTTGTAGTTGCACACAGTGGCCAAGTTCAGGCGCGCCTCGTTTCGTGAGAAGTCGTGACAGACAGCTCGGTTAAGTATCTGTTGGAGCTTTTTTCCTCGATCGGAGATGCCGGAGGACGCTGGCACAGCCAAGTCAGGTAAGGTTTGATTAAATGTTTGCTGAATGAAAAATGGAAGGAAAGCTAGATGGTTTTGTTGCATTGTGCAGAAATGTTTGTTGCAACGACGGTGTAAACATTTAGGGAACTGACGTGTCTCAGTCATCCTTAATACATGTACATACTGTACATGCTGTTAGCGGTACAAGTACCGAGGATGTCAACTGATTTGTAGCACAGACTTATGGAAATGCACTAATGCATAATAATATGTGTTATTAAGCAGATCCAGGCAATAACAAACTGTTTAATAGGATGACTGAACAAACGATAATTGTTCTGAATTTTTTTCTTGCCGTGTTACGGAATTATAATTGTCGACTAAGTGTCAGAGACATTTCTAAAATTGTATTACGTGTGCTGAAAGTGTAATTCGATCGCGATTCTAGCCCTATTGCCGTATTTTTAAACGGGGTTAGGAGTGCCAGTACCTCGCTGCGTCGGTGCTACATTTAGATTTGACGCAACAACACAGTGTTCCACTTCCTTGGTCTTGCTCACATGGACAACGTAGCCTAGCCATGTGCCGCGCTCTTTGGAACACTCCTCTAATTGGTCAAGAGACGTTCCACTCCGCGTGCACGCTTCAGCGGGACTGTTCTCCGATTGGCCAGAGCGGAGACCGTGACGCTGCACATTGCATAATGCAGCATGTAAACAGCGGTCCCGGCGCGAGGCAGGGCTGCGAGGTACACGTGAGACGGGGAGAGACGGCAGAGACTGACCTAGATTTGTTCCCCTCCTCCTCGCGCTTGGCTTTCACAGAAATCCATGACAGGTCGACACGTGGGTGGGCCACGAAAAATAACAGTCGTGGCTAAGGTTAGGTAACCATCTGCTGCAGCCTCCGAACGCAGAGGTTTCAAAACTTTATGGAAAAAAAAACAACTACACAAATTTCCCTTTTTTATAGAAATATTCCACTAAACATACAAATGCTCGGCTTTCTGCGCAAATGTCATGTTTGTTTGGAAATCGACCAAAGGTTTGATATTTAAAAACTGCAGCGTCCTACTTTAGTTCATGTTAACAGGGTCACACTGAGAGGTCACTGGAGCAGTTTGCAAATGAAATTCAATGCTTTGCCCAAAGGTACTTAAGTAAAATGGATTATTAGAGTTGAAACAAATTATTTTTATTATCATGTAGTCTTTTTAAAGTGTCCAAAAGTAGTAAAAATTGCGGTCCCAGTTTCCAGTCTTCAGGCTTGATGTTTCGAAGCCACACTCTCATTCACTGAGTGAAGTACACTGAGTAGTTCAGTCATTAGTGAACAATAAATTGTGATATTAGACACTTACTAATCACCGTCATTTTGCATTATCACTAACATCAGTAGAGCTGTTCCATGGTAATTTTTTCCTCTAATAAAGTGCAAATCATTGTATTGTGGAATTATTAGCAGGAAGTAGGAGTTTACAAGTTTATATGCCTTGTACACATTTTTTTATATTCCATTTTGGAATTTTTCAGCACACTATATAATGAATAAATCTATACAATGTTCAGGCACAATTTCACAATGTCAAACACACTAAAGTGGAAAAGCCTCACTGTGGAAGAGCTGCATGTGTTGAGTGCTTTTGTGTAAATGATTGATCAACCATCAAAATAGTTGCTGATTCAGTTTCTGCTGATCAGCTGTCGATTGACTACTTATTGCAGCTGTACTATCAGTTAGTCTGATGATGATTGTTTCAGTTAATTCAGTCTCTGAAATGTCCAAAGTTGTCCATCATAACTCTGTACAGCCGAACCTGACTAATGTATTGTTCAATCAATACCCAAAAATATTTAGTTAACAATATGTGGCATATAAAGGCCAGTAAGAGGCCAGAGAGCCTGAAATCCAAATGTTTAGCATTGTTTTGCTAGTTCTGATTCAAAAATGACTGACAAAATTAACTGGCTATCGAAATATACACTAATGCTCCAGATCGACCAAGTCTTTCTGCTCTATAACCTAAGATGTTGTTTGGTGCTGTTAGAAGTGATGAAACCTACTGCTACTAAACACATTCTCCACATTCATCACTATGTCTCAAAGCGTTTCCCCTCGGTTTTGTAACAGGGCTACACCAAACATGACGTTACATAACCCACCGGTGAATGTTTCCCCTCTGCCTTATTTTGTTCATGCAATTCTTCTGTTGCTCTAGTGCTTCAGTGACCCTGTTTGGTTGTCATGTCACTCCAGCAGACCCAGGCATGTTATATAACAGTGTTATCTAACCAGGGAGCACTGGGGGTGATAAAAGCAGGTCAATCAGAGCAGCAGGAAACCTACACTCACACTGGACTCCTGTGCTGTCTAGGTGTGGCAGAGGCACCTGTACATACTGTCCTGCTGAGAGTTTATTTGTTGGTGGTCCAAAGCTATTTACTTCCATTAGTGGATTTTACACTTCACATGAGTTACTGTCTCTCATGCATTAAACCTGGTAAAATTGTGTAGTAGAGTTAAAAATGTCATGATGTGGTTTTGTTAATTAGAAGTAGATTTATATGCAAACAGTAAGTCATACAGTAAAGTTTGCTTTGGGTGTTTGCCTAACTCTGGTTCATTTTCACATTAGCACAGTAACATGTTAATGTCTCCCTCCCTACAGGAGGCGTCATTGCCTATATTTCCTCTAGCTCTGCTTCTGGGCCAGAGTCCTGTACATATAGCAGCGGCTACCTGTCGACATCACCGACTTTGTCCCGGCCATCACTGCCCAGCCGGGCTGTGGGCATGGTAGTGGATATTGCTCCTCCGCTCAAGAACGGGCACGCACGTGGTCACAGCATGGAGAAGGCCGGACGCTCCTCCACGTCCACCAAAAGCAGCATCACCAGTAAGCACACCATCAGGATCTTGCCATTACTGAAACACTGTGCCATTGACAGATATGTGGCAAGCCTGATCTGTTGCACACACATCACTGCTTCTCTTTGTTTTTGCAGAAATCAATGGCATGGTTCTGTTGTGCAAGGTGTGCGGTGATGTGGCCTCGGGCTTCCACTATGGTGTGCATGCTTGTGAGGGCTGCAAGGTGAGACAAGCTGCAGGAATAGTGTTGCCTCTCTCCTCACTCAAATGACTGCTGTTCCTCACGTGGCTCTTGTGGTTCCTTAGGGCTTCTTCAGGAGAAGCATCCAGCAAAATATCCAGTATAAGAAGTGTCTTAAGATGGAGAACTGCACCATCATGCGGATTAACAGGAACCGCTGCCAGCAGTGTCGGTTCAAGAAGTGTCTGGCTGTGGGCATGTCCAGAGATGGTGAGCGTTTTGATTAGTTTCACACAATTAAATCAAACCACAAACACGAAACTGATAACTTGAGTTCTGCCCAGTGTCATTCACCCTGAAGCTTTTCATTTTTTTGGTGCTCCTTATTAAATATAGTTAATTGTAAAATTTATCTAATGAATGGCATTTTTCACTCTCAGCTGTCCGATTTGGTCGCATCCCAAAGCGGGAAAAGCAAAGGATGCTGCTGGAAATGCAGAACGCCATGAACAACATGATGAACAACAGCAGCCAGCTGCACAGCATGCTGCACAGCCACCAGGGCTCTACGCTGTCCATGGAGGCCATGACTAGTGATGCCAGCTCTTCAGCCTCCTCGGCTTCTGATTCCCCGTCGTGCTCCAACCCCTCCTCCCCGCAGTGCCCCCAGGACACAGAGTCTTTGGTTTCCATGGACACCATCTCAAGCTCTGCCTCCTCCTGTGCATCAGACAGCGGCGAAGATGAGGCTGTTGTCACATTGAGCTGGCAGCATCAGGATGCCTTCGCATTCAGCCAGCAGAGGTCTCCGAGACGAGGTCAAGTCTCACCCTCACCTGTCGGTGCCGTTCTGGAGACAGGGAGTGACAGCCGCATAGAGGAGCAGCAGGAGAGCTGGAACTGCTGGAATAACAATGTGGCTCAAGGAGGTTACCAGCGCAGTCCCTACAGTCACAGCCAACACATCACCAATGCCGTTTGCAGGGAGGAGAGGGAAGTTTACCAGCAGCAGCCTGAGCAACAGCAACTCAACAGCGCCCCTAGCTGTGAACTATCAGAAGGCAGCCAAAGACAGCATGAATTCAACACACAAACTGCCTCAAGTGATTACAACGTACCAGTCAGCTGTGCGAATAATAGAGCACACTTGGTGAGTAAATTAGTCTTTGCATTTTCAAAATTCATATTTAAGTCACAGAAAGTAAGCTAAAGCTAGAATGGTTTTAAATCACCCTCCTTGACTGACCTTCGGTCTTCATGTTTTTCCAGGTCTGTCCAATGAACACATCGCCCTATGTGGACCCCCACAAGCCAAGCCAGGAGATCTGGGAGGAGTTCTCCATGAGCTTCACCCCTGCAGTGCGAGAGGTGGTTGAGTTTGCTAAGAGGATCCCGGGCTTCCGTGACCTCCCCGAGCACGACCAAGTCAGCCTGCTGAAAGCTGGAACTTTCGAGGTAAAAAAAAAAACAAAACAGGCAAGACATAATCACAACATGTTGTTTTGTACTCTCATTGAAGTCAGACACTGCGGGCTCTTCAAAAACCCATACAGGATTCTCTGTGGCTTTCCCACACAGAGCAGACTGTCAGCTGTGTGCACGGACAAATATTTGCGCTGATAACAGTTGGAATGGAAATAAAAGAGACTTCACAAAGTCTCTGTGGGTTTGATTGAGTCTCTGTAACATTACCATCCACTGGAGAAAGCTGAAATATCTACATTGTAGTTGTTTCTATTTAGGCTGTTGTGGGTGTGTTTATACTGGCCCTTGGTTTTTAATCAATGTGCTGCCCATTCATGTTGTTCTCCCTAGGCACCGACTGTAAATGCTGTGCGTCTTTTCTAATGAAATTATATTTCGGACATTTCCATGTAAAATTTGAATTGGCAACATGCCCTCAGAACATTTAGAGATTGGACCATTCAAGATATCAGCAAACCATTTTTTAATTCAAACTAGGCAAATTAAATAAAACATTACAAATTATGACTTATTCTCATTTTCTTAGGATCCATTAAAAAGTTAACCATAAAAAATCTGTTTCAGTTATTAAGTCTTTCAGGTGAGTTTTGGATTTGCACTGACAAAACCAAAAACCTCAAAAATCCCCCAACTCGGCCTTGTCTTGATTCCCAGGTGCTGATGGTCCGATTTGCCTCCCTGTTCAATGTGGCCGAGCGGACGGTGACCTTCCTGAGTGGCAAGTGCTACAGCCTCGACACGCTACGGTCGCTGGGCGCCGGAGAGCTCCTCAACTCCATGTGCGAGTTCAGTGAAAAGCTGGCAGCGCTGCAACTCAACGCGGATGAAATGAGTCTCTTCACCGCCGTGGTGCTCGTCTCAGCTGGTAAGAACACTTGATTAAAACTCTGCTTTAGTATTACACCTATCATATTTTTTAAACCACAAACATTAATATCACTACTACTATTACAAGGCTACAAATGGATATAATAAGCCCCGGATATACAGTATATGCACACAGATAACATTTAAAATAAGTATTGTGCCGTTTTTAAAAGCAAAATATACATTACTGTAGCCCTTTTTCCACTGCCCGGTACCAGCTCAGCTCAGCTCTATTCGCCTTATTTGTTTTTTTTCCATCAGTCAAATGTTGGGGATAGTACCTGGTACTATTTGTGGTATCACCTCTATTAAGGTTCCAAGCGAGCTGAGGCGACAGTAAATGGTGACGTCTAAACACTGCAGACTAATGGTTGGTAAGAGTAATTCATCAGTATTACGCAGCCACCAATGAACCTAGATGTTTACATTTGACGACACCAGTCGCCCGTTCTTCATTCACTTGTAGTAGCTGCCACTTTTCTCTCACGAGTGTTATAGATAAATTTACGGTGACAGAGGCCTCCAGCCTCTAATTATATAACCATTAGATTATGTGAACCACCACATCATACATCTTATCACATAATCTATGGGTTACTGAATGTGATAATATGAGCACAATGGCTACTGCTGCCTGCTAAGTAGCGCTAGCTAGCTGGCACTTTAACAGGTCATCACATCTCCAAAAACATCAGAGCCAGTTTTTACTTGGCATTACCTGGATATATTGAGCGCATATTCAAAAACTAGACTTGTTTTCTCAACTTAAAAACTATAGAAAGAGTTTGGAGTCAAGTCGAGCTGAGCCGGTACCAATCAATGGAAAATCAGCTTTAAATAAGAAAACTCACTCTTGCATGTTCTGTAGCCAAAATAAATACTTGTTTTATCCTACAGTGTTAACCTTTTTTTCTCTTTCTGTTTGTACCCAGATCGCTCAGGAATCCAGGACTTAAACTCAGTGGAGGCCCTGCAGGACAAACTGATCCGAGCACTGCGAAACGTGGTGATGCAGAACCATGGTGATGAGGCGGCCACCACCTTCACCAAACTGCTGCTCAAACTTCCCGAGCTGCGTTCACTCAACAACATGCATTCAGAGGAACTGCTTTCCTTCAAAGTGCACCCTTAAAAGCTTCCTAAGGGGGTCGGTCTGTACCCTCCACCTCCACAAACCTCCATCAGGACCTGCCTCTTACCGCCCCCTCACCCTCTGTATTCGACCAACTCAGTGGTGTCTATTTCTAGAATGGATTACAATTTATTTTTCATTCTATTTTTGTTAAGACCATGTGGGATTTAATGACAGAAGAATATAAAATGTACTGTATTTATAGCAGAGACAGCTCATGCTTGTTGCACACGCAAGTGCAAGTGTCAGAGGTTTTTAGTTTTGTAGAATTGGAGGCACTTTTTTTTAAAAGAGAGTACTTAACAGGCTTTATGAATAAAAACCAATTAGTATGGTTTTTATTATTATTTGAGCATTTATGTTTCCTCCAAATGCCATTTAAATTCCAAAGTGTATTCTCTCATGAGACAATGTGAGAGACAACATGTACCTTACATACTGCATGTCTGTCTGGTCCAGTATTTTGACTGATGCATGTTGGCAAGAAAGGCAAGCTATCGTAAAACGTATCAAAGAATACGCTGCTAATGCATGGCTGTACTTACTGCGATCAATTTGGATATTATCCCCGTTCCTCTGAAAGCATCAGTTTGTTGTTTTAGTGTATATTTTATGATTTCTTTTATTTCTATTTAATTTTTTTTCTATATGTTCAAGTCTATTTCAACAGCCTGTACACTGCCTGGTCATTTCTGGGTTACTCAATAACGCCATTTTTGGCAACACTACATTTGCACAAGTTCAGGAGCAGAAAAACCAAGTTAAACAAATAGTGACACATCACCATGTAAAGGCTACATGTAAACGTAACCACACCCAAGTGTTTTGCTGTTTGCTCACTTTTTTTCCTGACTTTTTTTAAAATCAAACATTTTGTGTTTTCAGCACAGCACTGAATTTGACACTTGTTTTGTCATTCATTTTGTTGAAATATTTTTCTTCT